TCGTGCTTTGTCCGCGCTTGCCTCACATGTTCCTTTGATTGGTTGAGTTTGTTTGGCGGTTGTCGTTCTTCTGAGGGCCCAAGCCCCCTACCAAGAACTACCAACCAGTGGTACGGCCGATGCAGCGAGGCCCATCTACCACGTGATTTGGCACCTCTTTGTGGCTGCGGCCGCCATTTGCCATTGGTTCGCCGGGGGCCCCGAGTTTTGTTCTTCTTGTTCTCGTTGGCTGGTAGCACCTCAGCCAGGAGAGGGCCACTTAACGTAAGGACTAAATGGGTGTGTGTGTGTGTTTTTGTGATTTGAAGGGAGGCCTAACAGAAACCCACCTGTTTTTCGGATCCCCCGGCTTTGACATTGGCCCAAATTGGGAAGCAGCCAGGCATGGACAGGCATACGCACGGCATGCTACTGCTTCCTTCTGTTGGTAGGCTGGCAAGAAAGGAATCGGATTCTCCCCGAAGCCCCCAGGAAGATCCATCCAACCTGCAACCTTCCTGCCAAACTCCCAGACCATTTTTGTAACCCGACGAACCAACACGGAAAAGCAAGTTCCAGGATCCCCTCCCCAGACCTGTGGTCTTTTCCCCTGTTTTTGGAGGAACGTGACTGATCAGAAAGTTGATCTAAAAGTAGAGGAGATGAATGACACCATATCGCCTTGCGTCATCGAAGAATCCCCGTCAGTTCTCTCCCCATAAGAGATGTGCGGATCATGGATACGGTTTCCCGTGGATGCCTGGTGAAGAGCCCATTCTCTTCGGGTTTCCCTACCCTCCCACCGACTAACATGGAAGTGCACAGACCTCTTGGAAAGGGGCTTTGTGCACTTCCATGTTAGTTGATGGGAGGGTACATTTTCAAAAACTCGGCTGCGCTGTTTTCCCCAATGCGAAATGCGAGATCCACTCGTCGTGTCGTAGGCGGTGAAGGAGGCTGCCGCAGACGCGGCGCTGCACCACTCGGATGGGCCCTTCAGTGCGCCCGTGGAGTGGTGGGTAGCGCCTTGGAGCGAGCGAAGTTGAAAACTCCGAGATGTTTCCATGGGAAGTCAAAGAGATACACTCCCGCAGACAAACATGGAAGCTCCCAGAAGGCCGATCCTGCAAATGGGATCAAGTCTTCCAAAGGGGTCCTGGGAGCTTCCATGTTAGTCTGGGGGAGGGTACCTTCCATTTGCTGAAATGAAGACTAGTTTGTTTTCCAAGCCCCAAAACGTACAGGGTCTAGGGAGGGGTATTTTAGGTGCCTAGCTTTTGGGCAGCTAATCAGGGGTTGTGAATTTCACCCACTCACCAACCAGCAAACGCGCAACATGGAGGTTTTGCACCTGTTTCAGAAGTGTCCTTTGTTGCGGAGTGGCCCGTTTTTGGTTTTCAAAGGACATGCATCTTTGAAAAGAACGCAGCTACCACGTTGATGGCGGTTTCCAACTTTCAATCATGTGTTTTGTTCCCGCGAACCGCCACCGACACCCAAGGATGAAGCTTCGTCCCCCAGTAGTGCCATTTTGCCCCTTTTTTGGGGGAGGGTTCCCCTACTAAAATAGACGACAGAAAAAAGGGTACCCTTATTCTAACCTCTCTACTGGAGGACCTAGTTGGGCATTTCTGAATTTATGTGTGTGTGTGTGAATCGGCGTAATTTGCCCAGATGTTGCGGTTTGCCCTCGTGGATATGGCTGGTACCCTCTTTCCGACAAGCATGGAGGTGGACAAAAGTGTCTTCTTGTTCAAATCCGATTTTGTCCCACCTCGCACGTGGGATGTATTTTTGTGTGTATGTGTCAATACAGCTCAATTACCAAGGACCATTTTGGTTACAGTTTCAACTTGGAGTCAACAAGAGGCCAAGCATGTATAGCAGCTCTTTTGTTTCACACAATCCCAGGTTTTAACAAATTGATTCCGGCTTGCAGCAACGCCAACCATGTGTGTAGCATCCGAACGGACCCCACGTGTGTAGAACCCATACGGCCGGGTCAGCAGCTGACTTGTGCTAAGGAACGCTTCCATGAGGTGAAGGAAGAGATTGCGAAGCTGCACAACGAGACCGCAGATCATGGGCTCTACCGGCAGCTTACCAGAACGAGCGCGTTTTCTTTGCTTTCGCGCAAGCCGAAGGCCGAAAGCGCGACTTGCGCCACAAAACCTTTGGTGCATTTTGCCAAGGGATGTTAGGACTCTAACTTTTTGCCAACTAATGGGTTTTCCATTAAACCACTAAAAGTTCAACTTTGAGCAGGGGAGCAGAAAGCAACCGAGAAACACAGGGCTGCGCTCGGCGTGTTACCAATGGTAAGATGGATTGTCGGGGCCCGCGGTCCACAAAGGGCAGAAGAAATGGGCGAAATGGCTCCCACTTTTGATTTGCCCCCCCCCCCCCCTTGAAAAAGAAAAGTATGGCTCCAACTCATCCGTTTTGGTTTGATTTGCATTTGGTGTGATGGCCAGGCTACAAGGCCGCGAATTCGGCTTGGATGCTAAGAGGGGTAGCATTCGTTTGTTGGTAACCATACAACACTACGCGCTGGGAAGGGCTGAATGCGAGTTCCATTTTTTACTAGATTTATGTTTCCCTGAGTCAGGAGGGGCATTTGAGATGTTCTTGACTTTGGGGGCTATTCTGATCATAGTTCCTGAAATGTTCTTCCATTGTCAAAGTCTTTCGTCGTGCTCCGCGTGGCCGTGTTTGAATAGGAGGACTTCCTTCACAGTGGGCAGGATTTTGGAGGCAAACACATTGTTCACAGAGGGCAACATTCTTGCAGCGTAAGCAGATCAGGCATTCATAGAGGTTTGTTGAGAGACCCAGCAAAGCTGACTCCAGATGCCTGTTCGTGTTCCCCAAGCAGTGACGGGAGCTGCTCTAAGCTGCGACAACTCAGACTAATCAACGTGAGGTTTCTGTCTATTCCCCCCCCTCCTCCCCCCTTTTTTTGCCCCGACCAAATCATTAGAGCCCAGGACGCTTATGGACCACCTCTCTCTGCTGCCAAATGTCACAACCTTGGCGAAACGCTCGGGCGTGACTGGGCGCAAAGTGAGGGCTGTAGAGGAAACCAATGAACTGGCGACCAAATCGGCCGTACGGGTTCTAAGAAACGGGTTCGTGTGTTTTTCTCCTGTGCAAGCTGGATTTGCTTGTTGAACGGGTCCCTTGACAAAAGGGGATGGATTATGTTTTGATTTTTCCAAACCCGCTTTCTGGCGCCCAGGTGACCGCGTTGCCCAGTTGCCTCCAATCTGGCACTTGCATGGGCGGAGAGTGAGTCGGATGACTCGAGCGAGCGGTGGTGCCTTTTGCGTGTGCGAACATCGGGTTGGCGGCCAGGGAATGCTTGAAATCTGGTCGAGTCCTTGAAGAGCCCATACTTTTCTGTGCCTTCGGCGCCATTGCTGATCAGGGACATGAGTGGGGTCAGGATGGACAGAGCATTGCTTGGCCATCTCCGACTGGGTCGTTCAAAGGTTGCCCTTGTGGTAGCGTTTTCCCCTACGTACGGATTGGGAATTGGGATCCCCCAGAAATTTCGGGAAATCGGGAGCCCATTGTGAACAAGATTGGATAATGTGGGTGGAGCGGAAGGAAGGTGGCTTCATGATAAAACCTCCTTCCTTTGGCTTGTGTTTTTATTGTTGGCAAAAAGTATTGCGGTTCAGGGGCATGGCCATGACTAGCGTTTGGTACATGCGGCACCTGGAGCAGATGGACGTCTCGGATTGTGAAACCTAGAAGATTGAGCCAAGCATCAGAGTTATGACGAAAAGCTTTGCGTTTGAGCCTTGTTTGGAAGCCTCTAATTCGGGACATATGTCCTGCATGGTGGAGAAATGTTCCATTGCAGCTTCCATGGCATGGCAACACTTAGATGCTCGGCATGCACTTCACCCGTACAGCGTGCAGGGGAGGGTCTCTTCGTGGCAGAGCTGCCACACTGAACAGGTTCTTTGACCGTGGGTTGGTCGAAACTGAAAAGGATAATGTTACCCTAACCCATGGTGTCAGACCCATAGCAGCTGACCAACCCCGCAAAACAAATCAGTCCCTGTCAGGGCACCAGGCCCTGCGCCATAATGGAACAGTCTCTCCAGAGGAGACGCTTTGGAGACTTTCTTTTGGATTTCTGAAGGTGTGGCTGACACAAAGCGGTGGTACAGCGCAAGTGCGCACCATTTTGGCATCCGCGGCATTTGCCCTGAAGCCGCTTGCTGGTGATGTCCTCATCCAATCGGCCTCGCTCCGTGACGGGCCAGCAATCCTTGAACAAATTGAGTTGAGACCTAAAGTGCCGGCAAGACTTTGTTGTGTCAGTATTTGGTTAGCATTGCTTTGAAACCGGGCGGTAGTTGTTTGATACAATGCTGCAAGCTTGATTTGTTTGGGATTCAGCATGCTTCATGATCGTTTTGCAAGAGGAACAAATCAGTGGATATTTGCATACAGCCACGGGGTTGTTCAAGGTTCATCCATTCAAGCCAACTGTTGCAAGTCCTCATGGATTTACCTTTGATAGGACAGTCTGTGGCTGTTCGAAACCGCTCTAAGGCTTGGAGCACGCAAGAAGGCCCTCGAACATATCTCCTGCAGCTCGCACGGCTTTGTTCCTCCTGTTTGGGTCAGTACTTTGACAGGATGCAAGGCTCATGGTCGCATTTTGCATCTGCTATGTTTGTGTGGCTTGCTGGGAGCCTGCTTTGGAGCATGTTTCACAGCGTTCCATCCTGGCGGGCTATCTAGCCAGACGGAAGCTTGCCCCGTGGCCCAGTTTGGGCGCATCGGAAATGGGGAAACAGCGCTGGGCTGCCGTGCTGCAATCGGGTTTGGGGTGTTGCTTGAAAGTGAAGCGCAGGCGAGGCTGCTATAGAAAGAATCAACACACGTTGTGCGCATGGGCATGGATTCTTTTCAAGGATAGGAAGCGTTGAAACAGGTCCATGGGGTGCCCGCTCGCGCGCCTGCGTGGGCGACTGGCTGGGGGTCTACCGCCAAGACCTGAGGTTTACCCTGGAGGACGCGGAGCGCTGGAACGGCCACGGGGACTTGATGCATTCGCCCTTCTCACGGGAGCACCTCTCGCTGGAGAAGCTCGACGTGGTCTCAAAGAACTCCTCTTTGGCTTCGCTCTTTTTTTATTGTTGGTTTTTCAGCAGGATGGGTTTTCAAGAGAATTTTCAAGAGAATATATGTTTCAATGGATTGCTGCCATGGCAGAGTATGGTCAATTGGAGTACGTTTGCGGACACATGTTTGGACGTTGGTGCACTGACTCACGGCCAGAGCCTGGCCAAAATGTTTCCCGGAGTATATGGCCAGCTGATATTTCGTGGGCGCTTGACACTCTGAGGAAGATGGATCCGGTGACCTTGTACTCTGTCGCGGCCCCAGGACCTAGGGTTCTTTTAGCAGCCATCTTGCTCTGAGTGCCCCGGGTGGCCAGGAAGTATGACAAGGATCCTGAAATGCAGTTGAAAAGCAGCCGCAGGTTCGTAGGTTCGACTCGCACAGCCAGAGCTCGGCTCAGGTCGGGCACGGCGACATGTTGGAGAAGGAGCTGCGATTTGTCACAGCCATGTGCATGTTTTGTTGCAATGCCAAGAAATCTTGACAAAGATATACAAAGATCAACCTGGAATAGCCGAACAAAGAATTGGCTTGCTTTAAGCATTCCAAAGGCTCTAGGTGCTTCAAGGAAATCCTGTGATGTTCATGTGATTCTTGCGGCTGCAAGCCAAACAACGGGAACCGGTTCAATCGATCCACCTTCGTTGGGCCTCACTCCGTTTGATTTGGGGTACCCGGTTCGCGAATTTGGAACCCATTGAGCAGGACCATGGTGTTCGAATCTGCGAACCTCAAGTCAGGATCCAGGGGCTGCTTTGGCCTAGGCGTTTGCACAACGTTGGGGAGGGAGTGAAGTTAGTGTTTGTATTTTATTACAGATGCCAGATGCACACAAAATTATAATATACATATATATATATATATATATCTATATGCATGCGTGCATGGCTATGGAATTCGATTGGAGACACCTTCGCAAATGGTTGGTGGACTCAAATCCCCATGTTGACCAAAGTCCCTTGATTCCTTTTTGCATGTACATTTGCAGTTGCATGGACTCAGACATGCTTATGTACCCGTCTTTTGCATATCGGGCAAGTTTTGCGGACTCTTTGGAAACTTTTACTTTTCTAAAGGGTCTCAGTTCAAAAAGCAGGGTTTCGAAACTCGTGTTGCCAATCAACTCCTGGACATTTGCGATCATTCCTATTTTTTTGACATTGCACAGCCCTACTTGAACCTTTTCTGCAGGGATTTGTGGTCACAGCGGTTAATGAGAGGATTATTCACGTGTTTGTTGCAAGGCTTGACAGCTCAAAGCCAAGGACGCACATTTTTGATGACCGACCTTCAATGAATCAATGGTTTGGGACAGAATAACTTCAAAACAATGCTCTGGGTGATTCTCACGCGAGGGAATTTCAGAGCTGTTGGGTGAAAGTAGGGGTCTCAGATGTTTCGTTCTAGTTTTCCCTTTCGCTTTTCATTCATCCCCATTTTTTTGACGCTCCGCTCATCCCCCGTGCTCTCTGCCAGCTCAGCGCGCAAGCCCCGGCCGCGACCTCCGTCCGTTCCGCAGGACTTTTGGGAGATGCTGCAGTGCCACTCCATCAGGCGATCGAGCCGTTTTCGATCCGTTGTTGCATCGATCCGGGAAAATTTGGGAACAAGGAACAAGGAATTTGCGGATTTGTTTGGGTATCTTGCCGCAGATTTTTCGCCAGAACCATTGCCGGATTGCCGCTTTGCATTTTGTTTGGTTCAACCCAAGGATGCCAAATTGTGTTTGTGCACGGTTTGCAGGGTGATTTGTTGTGTGGGTTATTTGACGGCCATGTTAAGATGTTTTTTTGTTTTGGCGGGGTTCGTTTTGGTGGGACACAGAAGGCCACCCTTAGTGGTTCAGCCTGGCCGTCCTGCGGTTTGGAATCACCGATGTGGTGCTCGGTCTAAAATCCGTGCACGCGCCCAGGCTCCAATTTTGACACGCCATCGCTGCTACCCCTTTCTCTTCCCTGGAATCTCTCTGATGAACTTACTATCGTTTTCCCCATTCAGGGCGCCTTTGTTTGGTTGCCGGTTTAGGTGCGGCAGGCCTTGTGCACCTCGTACCTTGTTTTGCTTCCTTGTCGTGTCTTGCCTGAATGTTGCTACCGTACTCTTACCCCCCCCCCCCCAAATGGAATTGCGGGGGTTGGAACTACTGCCACTTATACCTCCCTTAGGTAGATAGCTGCAGAACTGCCAATCCGCTTCCCCCAAGGGGGGATCTTGTGATTGTGTTCTTGACTGGTTTCCAGTTTTTTTGTGCATTGCCTGTCTCCACTGATCTGCTTACTGAACACCTGCTTGCCTGTTTACCCTTCCCAGGGTCCCAGTTCTGTAAGTGACTCCTTGCCCTTGACTGAGTGCAGATGGTTCGTTTCTTTTTCTTTGTGCCACCTTGGCCCAGAGCATCAGCTATCCCTCGGTGGGCTGGCGGAGTGGGATTTGCCCCCCTGGTTCTTGCGGTTCTTGTGGGGAAATGCGCCAAACAACATAACCATGGGTTGTTGTTGGGAAACATGTTTCCCATTTTTGATCTTATTGTGGTTTTAGTGGTTGAAATCCAACCACTTGCCTGCTAAGATTTGAGATTTGTTGCTCCCCTTCCAACATCAACCAGTAACCAGCGCTGACCTCTCCAAGCCGCTGAGAGGGAAGCTGGAAATTGGTCTGTCGTTCTCCTTCCGAGGGTGCTCTACGACATCCGGCCCACCGATCACAGGCAGGGTGACAGGCCACCTTCGATGTGTGTGCTTTTTGAGGGAAACCTTCCTTGCTGGGCTGAAAGGGAATCCAAGAAAACCCGATTTGGAGATCAACCCACAGGAGCTTGAGGAGTTTAACACTCCCGCTACACGTTTTGAGTCTTAGGGATCGATGAACTACCATGCACTACCTGACTTTTTTGAGTGGCGCCAGTTGGCTCGCTCAGAGTGGGGGGGGCGCTTCGGAGGTTGAAGCATTTCCTGGCAGGGGCGAGCTGTTTGCTCGGCACCAGCGCTTCAACGTACAAGCCCTCCGGAGCCAATGCTCCTTGGCCGAAGCTTTGGCGTTTTCCAGGGGTTGGTAGGGCCACCACAAAAAGATAGTTGGCTTTCCTTTTCTTTTGGTGTTTTGGTTTCCTTCAAAGCCAGCCACAAGGGGCTCACCTGGGAATTCATGACGCGCCAAAAGGGGGCATGGTTGTGGAAGGTGTTCATTTTGGAGTGTGGCAAGGCGAGATGCTCCAGAATCGAAGTACATGGCTTGCAATGTGATGTGCTTGCATTTCTTCAAATAAGCGCCCAAGCAAGGTCAAACAAATACTTTGCCCTTTGAAACTTTGTCAATCTATATCCCCAAAGCTGACCTCGAAGAGGCTTTGTTTAAGGATTCTGCTTGAAGAGGTTGCGGGCAAAAGTGGGCGTGACGGTGCCTTTGCCCCTTGAGGTGGAGGAAATGATGGGAGGCGCGTTAGAGGCCACGAACTTGTGCAAAACACGGTGGGCTTAGTGGATTCTTGCTTCACGAGGGATGTGTCTCTCCAAGTCGGAAGGGAGGCGGTCAGGGGTCTGGGTGAACCCGAGGTCGCGCACGCGGCATCTTCTTCAAGCCAATGCCGGTGGGCAGGGAGTCTGCCTATGGCACACTTGCACACATCAGGACGGTAAGGGTCGGTTGGGCGCCAGGATGCGCAGACTAGGTGGGCGTTGACAAACTCGCTACCCTTTCAAGTTCCAACAGGGATTCTATCTTAATTGTGGGAAGCTCCATCGGTTCATACATGGGCATGGGCGTACGCAGTCAGCCTTTGACCTTCAGTGGGGCTAACGGGCAGAAGGGGAAGAAAAAAAGTGACATCCACTTGCTCTGGTTAGCGCGTCCTTCCGATTACCAGCGGAGACGTGGATATTCTGTCCCTCTACCGTGGCGTTTGCATCGTGCCTTCGGCTTACCGCTGTTGGTAAGCATGTTTGGCCATCCGACTTGCAGCATCTTTCAGCATGAGCATCAAGTCATGGTGTTCCGGAGGGGGCCCACCTTGCGAAAACAAGGAGCGACGAGGGGCGCCATACCCTGGTGGAGCTTGCCTGGCAGGCAAAGAGGCGCCCTGCTGGGGGAGTCGGGCTAATCGCACTAGTCAGGTCTGATTCAATTCCACCTTTACTGGGGAGTTAGCTCTTCTAAGGGGATTCCTTTGACCAATTGATGTGTTTTTTCAGATTGATCCGAAGTTGACATCATATTTCAGAAAGGCAGACTTGCCGAGTACTGCAAAGATGGTGCTGAAGGCTGGAAAAATAAGCAATCATGCACTGCGCCTTGGAAGTGCAAAAGCCTGTTCAAGCTTCCATGGGATCAAAGAGTTCTTTTGCCGCTGGCACGCGAAATTTGCTTCAGCTTTGAATTCGCTTGAAAGGTTGGCTTCACGCGACCCACGGATGTTGATAAGATGAGAATCGCTGTCCTGCCGAACGAAAACTTGCCAGGCGTTGCAATCAGCTGCTCCTCCCAGTACAGCCTTCAAGACGTTTCAGGAAATATGACAGGGCTGTTGACCCCTTGAGGCCAGTTTTTGTCGGGCTGAGATCTTTGATTGCGGAAGCTGGAAACCAGCCAACAGATAAGTGCATTCAGCGTGGACCTGTTTGTTTGGAAACTGACCGTTTGGATATTGCTGCCAAAGATTGTTAGTGTGCAGGCATTTAGCCACAACCCACGTGGGCACACCTTCCCTTTTTGCTGCTGCCTCTCCGCTGCAAACAAGCAACCGAGCGGCGAACCCTGTATGTGTGAGACTGATAGCAAGGTAGGAGTACACTTAGCTTTCATACTATGGATGGAAGAAATCCTGCACCACCTACCAACCCCTGGAATGATGATTCCCCTGCAATGGGTGTGGGTCAAACCCAAACTTTCGGGGCCACAGGTTTTTGTCCATGTTTCCATTTACTAGGGCTCCCAAAATTGGTACCGATTTTTGACCCACAGCCATATACCAACAAACCACGTCCATCCACTGTAGTTTCCTTAGGTCATCCCCTGCCAGGAAGCGCACGGCTTTCATGGGCAGCGCAGTGCTCAGTAGGAGGTTTTGGCTTGTTGCCATCATGTGTGTCAAAATCGGGGCACCACCCAAAATGCGCAGATTCCTTTTGGGTTCCCTTTAAACCACCTGAAAAGTGTTGCAATAGAACCCCTTTAACTTCAACAGACTTTCCACCACCCTCCCCGCAAAAACCAGAGCTCTTGGGGTGCTTATGGAGAGAGCACAAGATGTTGGGTGTTGGTCTTAGTGGCTGGTTGCGGGTTGCATTTCACAACTCACAGTCTTTCGACCCACCAGCTTAGAGGTCTGGATTAATGCTTGAAGTTGCCCACTGTTCTGGGATGCTAGGGCTCAATTGAGTCCATGTTGGTTTTCCTAAACATGGACATATAGATCCGTGTTTCAATTCAGATCTGAAGGTGTAATGCCACAATGATTTTGCTCACAGTGATCAAGCTGATTGTTTTGTTTTTTTTGGCTGTGGTTTTACCCTGGTTTCGATGCCTCCCAAGAAGCGCCCAGCTGTTGGACATGGCGTTCGGACATCGGGTGTATACCTGATCCATGACAACTGTGGCCGGCCCTTCAGGGTCTCAGTGCAGCAGAATCGTGAAAAGGTCCAGGTGCAAGTCTTCAAGTCGATCCAGGATGACGATGACGATGAAGAGGAGGGTGCGCCAAACTATGAAGCTGCCTGCACCTCCTTTGGATGCGGAGAGGGTCTTTGTCGGGCAGAGCACAAAGCAGGGCGCTGGCTTTGATGGAAACTCCGTGTTGCTGCGCTGCTTGCTGTACTTGGAGGGTTTAAGAAGTATGTCTTGGAGAGAAGGTGTTTTCCTCTACAGCATAATCACCCAATACCGAGTATTTCTCACCAATGGGCAGTGACGTCCCTTAGCCTTGGGCCATGGACGAACAAGGTTTCCGATATTTGATGACCTCGGTCATTCTGGCTGGCAAGCTTTTCGAGAACAGTGACACAGACCCTTACGATCTTTTCTTTGAGCGGGCCGGAATCACTGCGGACATCGGTGACTCCAAAGCCGCCTTTCCACTCAGAGTGCCAAGGGATCACCGAATTCTGGATCGGAGCAAACCAGTACACCCTGATCGAAATATGAGCCGCACCCCGAAGAAGACTTCGACCGGCTGGCAGCCATGGGGAAGTTTTCTGTGGTGAAAGGTGGTGCCAAGATCAAGGTGTCGAAGGTTGATTCCCTGAAGCTGATGAGAGACTTTGCTGAGTGAGCTGGCTTTGAAGCTCTCCACAGGGAGACTTCGATTGAACTGAGCGGAACATCTGACCGCGCGCGCTGGGCATGAAGTAAAAAGAGGGAGAGGGTTTTGTGAGTTGCCGCCATTGAAACAATTTTGAAACATCCTTGCAGTAGCAATTGTCGAGTTCCACAGCCTGAGGTGAAGAGCTGTGGCAAGATGCTGGGTCCTCAGTGGGATTTTCAATCGCGCGGTTTCGCCCCCCTGACGGCCGCTAGTCGGGGGGTCAACAAGCGGTCGCTTGTTGACCCCACCGCCGGACCGCTGTCGAGTGTCAAGGCACCTTTGAGCGCTTGTGGCAGCATGCAAACACCTGTGAAAAGTCCCTGCTTCGTACTCTTTTATTGAAATAGTGGCGTCCCTGGGCTGCCGGGCTAGCAGGTACAAGTTGGCTTTTGCAAGGGGGGCCAAAGGCCCGTGTGTAGGGATTTGTACCGAGGACAATCGGCAGGTGGTCGCCGAGGAGCTGGTCAAAGCAGGCGGGGCCAGGGATTTTTGAAAGCGTGCCCATATCCCAGTTTCCTAAAACCCTGACACCAAAAAACGATGATACCGAAAACCACCCGCAAACCACCTGGAAGTGCCCCCTGACAGCTACCCATGGGCCAGATGCCCACTCGCAGCTTGGGGAGCGCAAGGCCACCTTGTGGAGCACGTGCGCACGGACGGCTCGACGGAGAAGCACCTGACGCCTGCGCCTCAGCGGACTGCCGCGGGACTGTTGGCAGCTTGGCCGATATGTCTTGGATTCGTTTTTGGATTCCCTTCAAACCACGCGATAAGGGGGCATCCTCAACAAAAAATCAAAAAGACACACACATTGAGTGAAATTCAAAACAATGTGAAACTGAGCACTTGGAAGGGTTCCTAGTGTTGACAGATTGCCAACGAAGGGATATACACATAGTATACATGTATATATACTAGAAGTCAAGGTGTAAGCATATGTAAATGCATATGTGTATTCATGGGAAAGGCTCAGGCAGGAGTCCCAGTTGTTCAGTGGGTTTTAACCCTCGATGTAAATCCCTTTTGCTTGGGATCTGCATTCGGGCCCCCAGGGAGCGAACGGTCTTCGTATGTCACGGAACATACTTTCCCAGCTGATCTTGAGGACACTCTCTTCATGTTCAGGTAGGTATATGTCCACCTTTCAAGATCTGTACTTCAAACTTTCGGACATCCCTTGCCGTCAAGATTCATTCAACACCTTGCAGCTGTTTGGGTCCAGGTGTATCCACTTCGGCTTCGGATTCGCATCCTGAGGGTGCAGTATCCTGACTGGCTTCTGCGGGAGGAGGACCACCGGTATGTTCTGCTTGCTTGTGGTAAATAAGAAGGCCAGTGGGCATCCCAACAACTGCTGATCATGAGGCTGACGTGCTGCTGTTTATCGTTTTTGTGTGTGTGCATTGTTGCATCGCTGGGAGTTTAGATCAGCCAACCGCTTCCATGCTCAGCTAGAGAAAGGTGGGAGGAGATGAGATGTCAAGAGTTGGTATCGATCAGCGGATTCTTCCGAGATGGAGTTCATTCATTGATGAGCAACTGAAATCAAACCCTAGCATCAGAAAGCCAGCATTAAAGCACGCTCTACGTGAGTCGTGTGGGATAAATTTGTTTGCTGACTTTGGGTCATTTTGACTGGGAAGACAAGGGGAAATCCATGACTAGGTCCCCGAGCTAGGTGCCCTCTTACCCTTTTTGGGTGAGGCTTCCCCTACTAAAATAGACTACAGAAAAAAGGGTACCCTTATTCTAGCATCTCTACTGGAGGACCTAGATGATTTTGGTGGGCTCCCCGCCCCAATTCTCGAGACGCCAAAGCCACTGCCTTGAGGACCGCCTCCGGTTGCTGGAGAAGAAGCGGCAAGCGGGCGAGGCGCCGGAATTCGGCTTACCGCTGCTGCAGCGGTAAGGTTTGGGTGGTTTTCATTCGGATACCTGATTGGAGAAATGTATGACCCCCCCCCCTAAAAAAGTGGAAGATTCCTCCTGCCATGCCAAACTTACTGAGCAAAACAGATGGCAAAAGGATTTCCCTTTGCCGCAGCCCAGCATGTATGCAAATGGTGTAGCTTGTGACCGGCAATCTGCAGGTGTTTTGGGTGTGTTTTCGGTTTGCCGAGGGATGATGTTTCTCATACGGCGATTATTGCATGTGCAAAGCAGGTGTGTTCATGATGTGTTTGCTCTGGTCACACAGCGCAGGCAAACACCACGGTGCACAAGTCCCGGCTGGAACGGAGCTCGGAGGCTGGGCATGTCACGAACAGCAGGCACCCAGACCAGGCAGAAGTCGCTTCCCGCTGAGCTTGCGCACTCACCACAGTGGCCTCCCGAGCACAGTTGTTAGCTTGCCTCGGGAAAGGACCGAAGTGGGCCAGGGTCCACTGGTTCTTATTTGATACTTACCTCTCAAAAACACAACTTTTCAACTTTTTGGGTAACATGGGCTATATGTCTGTAAAAGATTAACTTCCCCAATCCTTGGAGTTTTAAGGGGTAAGGATATGTACTCAGGTTGCAGCTTTCGACTTCGCTGGACTCCTGTGTGACTGGAGGAACTGCAAAGAAAGATTCAAATCCGCTCGCTGCATCTGTTGGGTTCCCAGTTCCCAGGCTTGCTAACATGCCTTTGGGCTTGGATCCGTTCAGGGGGACGGAAATGTTATCCTTTCTCCTACGTCATCAAAGATAGAGACGCGAGGCCCGTCGAAGATGATCGTTTTCCGCCACCCCCCCTTCCCCCTCCCTCGGTCCACCCCGGTCCATTTCTATTCAAAAGGGCAGTTCCCTTCCAAATGCAGAAGTTCCCCCCCCCCCCAAAACAACAAAGGAAGGAGAAGCACAGGGAGAAGGCGGAAGTCAAAACTAAGCAAACACAGAAAATACCGATCCGCGAAAAGAACAAAAACACGACCCAGAGATCCTTCTTTTGGCCAGGCGGTAGCGGCACGCCTTGCCCGGCCCGTGGAAGAGTTGGCTGGAGCCTCGTTTTTTTTTTTTTCTCCTTTTTTCCATTATTTTTCTTTAATTTGCTTAACTGGGTTGTTCAAAGCGAATCCACCTTTCGACCTTTTAGTTGCTATTTCTGATCCATTTTATTTTGAGATCCTTTTGGCTGCGTTGAGAGAGAGACAGAGATCCTTTGGGCAAGTGAGTTAAGAGATTTACGAATATAATGTTAGAACCGATTGATGAACCCCCTTTGATGAAAGACGCATGATTTTCCCAGCCGACTGCAGGGTGGTTTACTAATCAAGCTCCAATATTATGTATCGTTTCCCCCTGTTGTTTAAAAAGAGAATCTATTGCTTCAAAATATATGTTTCTTTTCCCAATGGACCTCAGCGCAAGGCATTCATTTGACTCCCTGTGAGGTTCAGCGAGGTGATGAGACGCCAAGCACAAAAAGTGGTCAAACGTGGGCCAAGACTGCCATGGTTTAGAGCGAATTTCTGCTGCCCAGAGGCTCCTGGGTCTTTCAATGGAAGACCCGACCCCTCCATTAGACACCCTGGAGGTGGTTGGGGGTCTCAAAACCAGGTTGTTTGAAGGCCCTAAATCAGTCAGGAGCCTCTGGGTGGTACCTACCACGGGGGCGTGGCAAAAGAACGGACCATTGAGAAGAATACGGGTTCAACTAGCGCAGAGCTCAGGATGCCATGACGGAGCTCCGCAATGCCGCCAATCAAACGGAGCTCCCTGGCTGAGATTGTGGCGTTCAAAGAAAATTCCTTAGCCCAGTGGTAAGCCCGAATGAATAACCCCTGGTTGATTAACAAAGCGGTGCCCTATAAATAGCACCGGTTCTATCTCTGGATCCGGGGTCAACATGATGCCAGGTGGGAAGGGTTTTCCCTTGCATTTGCGAAAAGGATTTGGATTAGGGATCACCCCAGGGTCTGGCTGTCAAGGGCGAGCCTGAAAAACTAAGACACGTCGACACTGAGAGCATTCCAAACCCCCAAAGTAATAGGGGGTTCGCAAAATGATGAGCCCCGTTTAGTTGGCCTTGTAAGGGGAACCAAAAGGAACTAAGCCTTTTGAAGGAAAGGGAGGAAGAAGGAGGAAAGCCAAGGCTTCTAATTCTGAGACCCGCACACATGAACGTGCATTTCTGAGTTCAGTAAGGTGATTTAGAACTTCGTAACAGAACTCATAGGCGGTGTTCATACTAGACAATCGGCAATAGGGACCGAGTTTCAACGCTTCCAGGGTCTTCGGAGCAGCCCTGAGTTTGAACAAGAAACACAAATCGATGTATGCCACGTCCGGGTCGGACCTTTTGATTTCGCGTTTTGGTCCACCTTGATCCCAGGCGTTGATTTTTCGTGTTTCAAGCAATCAAAAGCGCCGCAACAGCTTCGGAGCTCGTTGGTCCAATGGGGACCCGGGGGCCCAAAGCTCTGGGCTCTGCCAGGCAAGGGTGCTGAAGAACCGAGACCTGGCATTCTCCCTCAAAGCTTCCATTTGCTTCAGAACATTTTTTTTTTTAATATTATCCCTGTTGGCCTCTTGGTTTTAAAGGGATTTTGCCACTATTGGACACATTTGGTGTTTTTTTTGGTGTTTCTGGGGGGCGAAAAAGCAAATGGAAGAGAAGAATGCACGAGGATAAATCAGGCCTGGCACCTGGCACACCCCCAAGCCCATGGCAGCTTTTAACGCTTCGGCTTTCCCCGTCTTGGCAAAGACTTTGGTCGGGGGAACCTGCTTTTGGTTCGCTTTTCAGGGGAAATTAAAAGGAAACCACAGGAAGAAAACCAAATGTGTGTTTTGGTGTTTGGGAACCCTCCAGCTTGGTTTTTTTCAACACTAGCCAAAAGGGTGCACCATTGACAGAAACCCATGTCCTTCGATAGTGACGCAGTCCGGCGTATTTTGTCTAAGGCTGTGTTTGGGATGGTGGACGTACACCCTTGGGGTTCAAACCACCATTAAAACCATGGGGGGTTCATATCATCACCCTTGGGTCCTTGCCTTTCTTTTGATGGGGGCTGAACCATGGGGTGTAGGGTCAACCTTCTTTTGGTGGGTTGATCCCTATACCTTTTGGTGTTGCTTTATTTTCGGACGAAGCCCCACGGACAGAAAGCCGAAACCCGATCTCGTGAAGAATCTGAGAGGCTGGTGGTGGCCCAGCGCAAGCTGGCGCGGTACCAGCGCCTGGCGGAGGAGAAGGGGCTCCTGGCCAACAAGGCGACGACCGTTGGTTTCTTTCCACCGGGCGGTTCGGATGTTTCTGGTGGGGTGGGTGGGAGTGGGTGGGGTGGGTGTGGGGGGTGGGCCCCACAATGGGGTTGCCACTTGCGGTTTGCCCTAGCTAAAAAAGAAGAAGAGCCACACCCAAGTGGTGGTTTGGAGCCCGGTGGTTTGGTTAAGGGGAGGCTTCCAAATTTGCCCTCAAGGGGTTCACAGCCCCAAGCCACCAATCAAAAGAGTTTGTCTCAAAGACTCTACGGGTTGATTCAATTGTTCCCCAGTAAAATAAATTTTATGAGGTAGAATGTTCAGCTTTCTAAGGGTTTGTTCACCCATCCTTCTCTGAAGAGAACAAAGCACATTTTGCTAGAGGTTTGCTCATGTTGGAGAAGGAACCCTGAAGAGGATGCGGAAGGCATAGCCGAAACAATGGATGCCAGGCGCCATTTGGAGTTCCCCATTGTACGCTCCATTGAAACCAGTCGCCCCGTATGGTAGGTCTATTGGAATTTGGGACTCCCCGAGTTGCATGCTTCAAACAACCGCGAAGGGTGTTTCTCAAAGTGAGAGAAACGGTCCCTGGTTGGTTCCTTTTGCTTTCTCCTTTGCAATGCCAACCAACAAGGGGTCCATCATATTGACAAAAACCCAACAACTGGGTGTCCTTCTGAGGCCCACGGATGCGATACAATCAGCAGAGTCCGTGTCAGCGTACCTTAGGGAACTCCACGACCCACCCAAAAGCGTATGACGCGATGTCCAGCGAGGCCAACAAGGACCGCCCAAAAGAAGCCCCTTGAATGCATTTTGCTTGGATGTTAGAACTTCAATAACGTTTTGCCAACTACTTTGGGTTTTCCGTATTAAACCACTAAATGTAAAAAAAAAAAAAAGTAAAACACTTTTCGCAGGGCTTCGCAGAGTTAGCAACCGAGCCCCGACAGGTCCTCAAGAACGTGCCTGAGTGGGTTCGGGAGGCGAGGCACTGCGGCTTCAGTGGAAGCGGCGAGTCCTGGAAGGAAGTGGGTATGGGTCAAAATTAAGTGCCTGGATCGCCAGTTACTGCTTTTTTCCATCCACTTTACCTCGAAAACCAGCAACAGTGACTGAGAAAAGCAGCAACTTGGCTAACCAGGTGACCAGGAATTGGACCGCTGTTTTTAGTCGTTGTTTCCATTTACCAGGGCAACTCATTTTGGGGTTACCCTATTTTTGACCCACACCCAAGTCCGGCTGTTTCCCTTTGATCAACAATTCCAGTTTAGTGGCCAATAGGATGAAAGTTGGAAGGGTGCAATGTTTGGACGTGACATCTTTTGACCCCTGGCTGGATTTGTGTTTGTTTTCGCCTTGTGGACGATCATGTCGCCTGGGAATTGCAGCGTCCCATCCATTGCTATGAATTGGTCAACGAGAAACCTCCCCCCATGGTTGTTCGGCTTTGGGGACACCCAAGGCTTGTTTGTACTTTTCGGCGGCACCTGCGAATTACCAATCTTGAGTCTTGCAGTGCAGCGTCTTTTCGGGAGAGCTGAAACCTGTGTGTTTCCCCAACTGCTGGGTGGCCTTTCCATTTCCCTTCAAGGACCACGGAGATTCCATGCCCCGAGAAGTCACGGGAACCACGGTGAAGCACCTGCGCCCTTTCGACCGCAGGATGCCATGAAGCAAGCTGAATGGGTGGCCGCAAAGAAGAAGGACACGGGTTTCGAGGCCAATTGAGTCACAATCAAAACCCGGGTAAGTGAAGGTTAGTCAGGGACGATCCCAAGCATAAATAGCTGCGGCCGCCTTCTTAGTTCTTTACATGGTTCTGGGTCGACCATTTTTGTACCGGGTTTTGATTATGGCTCAATTGCCCAGCTTTTTGTGCTGGCGCAGGAGGATTTCCCTCCCGCGCCTTGTTGAAGTGGGTTCCTTTTGTTCCATGGCTTCAGTGCAAGTCAGCGCAAGCGAGTGTGATTTGTCATGTCCCTTGAAAAATTTGCCCTCTGCAGGCTCCACCCCCAAGGTGGTGTTAACCTGACAGAGTTGTTTTGAGTTATTAAATGTTAGTACCACACAACATTGGTGGAATTGAATGGAATCACTGCAAGCTTTGACCGTTTGGTCATAGACTGCAGGAAAAAGCCGAGCAGGCAGCTGGGGCAAATGGCACCGCACTCAGAGTTTCAGCTCTCATCTTGGCAAAGTGCAAAGGTGTAGGAGTTGGATGTCAATGCAAGACGCGTTGCCTCATGCCTGACATAGCACATTAGATCATGAACCGGACAACTCCAAAGAAAGCATAAACACGAATTACAGTAAATGGTTGAAAAGAGATCACGAACAACGGTCGGTTTGTTTGCGTCAGCCTCTTTTTTTGCTTCGACTGACCAAATTGAAGCACCATGCTGCTGCCAACCGCACGCAACAATGGCCAAGAACAACGGAACAAACATTTGAGCGCTCTACGAGTTCAACATGGGTTGGGTCAATTCGAAGGATTTGGGATAGGCAAAGTGATGGAGCAAAGAAGCTCGCAGATTCCATGATGTGAGGTGATGAATGCCTCAAGGGAATATACTACGCGCCCTGGGCGCGTTCCCCATTTAGACTGCAGTCATCAACCTATGCATGGGACACGTACAATGCGAATTAGTTTCCCATTGGTATCGGGAACTAGTCATGATATTGGAAGGGCAGGAAGGAGTGTTTGTTGCTGGACGTCATGATTTCAGCACGAAGGAACAGAGGGCCTCAATGCATGCGTCAGAAGGGTCTGGTTCACCAGGCGTAGGGTGCACACCAGGGCTACCTACCGGGGCATATGCTTAATCCGAGTCACTCACGAGTGCAGTCAGCGCTGAGGCAAGGGAGAGGACTGATGCGGTGTTTCATTTGCTTCGCCGGTCCGAGCAAACTGGGGTGATCAGCTCAGCACTCGATCCTCAGTACATCCCAGTACCCATTGGTATTGGGTGAAAGTAGATGGTTTGGGGGTTGCCGCCCTTTGCGGCCATCAACGGAAAATTGCACCCTCTAGCAGCTTCCCTTCAAGTTATTTGGCGCTTTGGATTGGCCTGGAGGTTAGCAAGTCCACAAGACCCGGTGGTTGAACTGCCCAAGCCACCAATGCACACCACCAATTCGTCCTCCCGTGCCGATCCTTTGGGTTCACAGGCCCCAGCCCGAGGTTCAAGCCGCCTTGCGCGGTGGCAGAGTTGCTGGGGGTGCACAAGGGTCCGGTGTTTTTTTTGGTTACTTTTGTTGGATGGTTTTGGAGGGAATCCAAAAGGAAAACGGCCCCTTGTGGGGGGTCCCCTTTCAGAACCACAAAGTGGCACCCAAACTAACAAACAATGTGCTCTGTTTCTCAACGAGCAAAACTGTTGGAGTGATTTAGAGTTTATCCCCCGCAGGTTTTCGCAGCTCAAAGCTGAATCCAATCTCACTTGTCCAACGCCGATTCTTGACCTTAAAAAGCCCCAAGTGTTGATCTATGTTGGCGATTTATTGCATATATCGGCATGACCAGTACATTAGTACTATATTGATTTGGAATATTTACACTTGCCCAAGGTTGACCTCATATTGTTGCATTTGGACAAGTGAGTGGTTTTGGCCAGCCAAAAGGGAGCTGCAGCAGGCGCGAATCGCGACGGAGATGGGGGTGGGAGCGTTGCCGGCAACGACCCAACTGGATACGCACCAAGCTGAGGAAGCTCGTTAGGTGGAGGTGGGGGGCGATCTTCCCAGCTTGGTTTAGTCTTGAACTTTGGTCAGGCGTGATGGCAACACTTGGACTGTGCCTGTCATTTACCCTGCACGAATGTCAAGGGGTGACTGTAAACTGACTGCAGCTCGGTCGGCTCGGAGTTCGGGGTGGAAGCAAAGGATTTTTGATGAGCTTGTGGGTTTGCAAGTTGAATTGCGGGATGCATCCTTCTTGCCATCAAGTAGGCAAGGTGCTTGCGTGTTTCTTAAATGGGGACTCTCCTGGCTGGTGGCTTTCGGTTTCCTTCAATCACCAGACTTCCCAAAATTCGGCCGAGTCCTTTCAAGGAGTTGGTTCCTCTTTTGGACTGACTCGAGCACCGGGGGGGAGCGCCTTCCGTGCGCGCCCGGCGCCTTTGGGTCGCTGGCAGGTGGCATCCGATCGGCGGCTTATGGCCAGCTGCGGCGCCCCGCGGCGAGACCCCAATGCGGCCTGGCACGAGTAGTTCTCGGGGGGAGCCCCGTGCCCACAGACGATTCAAGGGAACCTTTTTGCAGATGCACCGCCCCCCCCCAAAAAAAGAAAGAAAGAAGAAGACCAACAAAAAGAAAAGGAAGAAGACCAACACTAAACAAAAAGGTTGCAACATCGATTTTCCAAGTGGAGCTTGAGAATAAGCAGCCCTTGTTTTTTATTCGTACTGCCAGTGACCAAAGCTGAAGCTGTCTTCATAAACCCGCCAGGGTCAAGGTTCGATTTCCCCACCCAGCAAAGGAAGAGGTGTTCTGACTGTGAATGGCGTGCCTCTCACGGAGCGAAATCGACCTTTCCAAAAAGAAGGGCCGTTTTTTTACAACATCCCCACCCCCTTCAAAATGGCGTTCTCGCGGGCGTTCTCGCGGATCCCAACAGCAGTCTATGTTTATTTGTGGGGCGGAGCCTCCCGGAGAACCTAGTAGTTGCTTCCGCTATCAGACATGGGAGTTGGCGGCGGGGGTGGATTGCCAGAAGGTAATTCTGGAAGAAAGGATCAAGGATCCGACTTAATTTCAACTAGACCATTGACCCTGTATTTCCTTGTTACGTTTGATTTGTTACGTTTGATGCTGAATGATGGTTGACGCAGCACGAACTTGGAAGCGCAAGTGTTGCGAATGATCGCCAGCTGTGGCAATTACAAGCCAGTCAGACGATGACCTTTTCTTTTGCTTTTGACCTGCGAGCAGCGTTCTGCTTAGCGTTCACGCCGATGGCTCGTCGGCTCCGGGGCAGTCTATGTGTTTGGTCACCATTAGTCAACCCAGAAGCTCCTAGTTGTGGCTGCGTCAACTCAAGGCTGCGTTTGGCCCGTTCTGAGCATTCCATTTTCCGGCTTGCGGGATTGCCTCAAAGTGAAATTGAGGATCTTAGGTTGGAAAAGACAGTCTTTTTGGGGCGACGCGATTGTTTCCTAACTCACCAGCAACGGAATGTTCAGGCAGGTAGCCCCCTGGCCGGAGCATGTTCCCGGTGTTTGGGGGTCTCCAAAAGAAAAGTCAACAAGTTGCAAGGCAGACCCCAGCCCGGAGGGTAATGTTGACTTCAGATTTGGCAGGTATTCCACCTGAAATGCTCTTTTGTAACCACCCTTGACAACAACCATTGATTGGCATGGTCCCTGAAGTTGAGTTGACCGATTGTATTTCTACTCGGGCTGCCAAAGGGCGACCCACACTTCCTGGCCTTTCGGAAAAGCTCCGTCCATTCATTTGGAGATAATTTTGCTGGTGCGCAGTAGGGAATGGGAATGAATCCAGGGATCCCCTTACAGGAAACCACAAGTTGGATGGTTTATCTCAGGGTCATTCCATTTCTCAAGATGCTAGACACTCAGGTTGGTTGAATGGCAGCGGTGCCAAGGTGATAAGAAGCAGTGCAAAATGCCAGTCCTTTAGCCAAACTTCCACCTCTTTCCATTTCTCATTGCAAGCTTTGTCCCCCCCATCTCCCCCCAAAAACGTCCCCCCCCCCCCAAAAAAAAAAGAAAAAACAGGTGGTGCAGGCCACGGTAGTGCAGGGCACCTATGTGCCCTCCAGCTCCAACGTGCAGATGGGGCGGCCGGTGGGATCCACGCAGGCGGATGGGCCAATGGGTCGTGGGGGAGGCGCCCAAAGAGGAGAGGTTTCTGCCTGCGATTGAAAACCAAGAGAACCACGCGGGCATTTGGGCCAGTAAAGAAAGAACACTCTTTTACAAATTCAGCAAATTCAGTGTTCAGAGGATCTCCTGGGGGTAGGAGCAAGCTTTGAGACGGTTGTCACGACCGACAGGACCGCCCTCAAGGGGAAATGAGAAGTGGATGCATTGGAGATTACATACCTACATTTTCTTTGGGGTAGCTGCGGGAACGATGCTAGAAACATGTGTTTAAACAACCGGACCATGGTCTCCTTTCGATGGAAACCAACACTGAGCGATTTGCACAACTGTTTCACATTCAACAAAGGAGGTCAGCCCCATCCGCCCAGATCCTCACCCCTTTCAACATGGAATTAGGTGGTGGGGAGATTTCGACCCCTAAAGACCTCCATCACTGGAGAAATCAGAAAAATCGAATTGGGAAGCCCCTCAGGCCCCCCACCCCCCTATCCAGCCCCCCTCGAGATCCTATGAAGGAAAACTGGTAGTGGCCCTGGTTTGCTTTTGGCCTCACTTTTGCAGGAGTCCTGAACCCTAGTCGAAAATGTCACCTGGGAGATTTTAAGAAGATCTTCTGTTCAATGTGCGCGCGGACAAGCTACTCAAGGCAGACCCCGTTAGGTGTGATGTTCGCAAATGTTTTCAGGGGTTAAGTTGTTGGGGTTAATGCAGCAAATTAGGAGAACATTCAGCTGCGGACCTAAACTCCACCCTTTTTCCCCTGAGGTCAGGCGGATTGGTCTGGAGTTGTGCACAGGGATGAGAAGAGTCCTTAAAATCACAGACCGCACAAAAAGGAACCTTTGTCGTTTTCACATATTGTGACATCATCCTTTTCATCCATTGGTACAGTCGTATCGATCAACAATCAAGGGTTGAACAATTTGCATCTGCTTGGATAGCCAAGTTGTTGTTTTTGCCAGTCACTGTTGCTGGTTTTTGGGGTAAAGTGGATGGAGAAAAGAAACGATCGCAACTGGCGACCCAGGTGGGTTCCAGACAAAGCCCCGGCTGCAACTAGAAATTCCGCCAAAGCCTTTGTCCAAGGTCTGCTTTGTGTTGGCAAACCGTTCTTTCTATGTATTCCACTTGTTGGCCTTGACATGACAGGGCTCCCTTTTCGTTTGGTTGTATATGGAGAAGGGGCCAATAGCGCGAATTGGGATTGAGTCAAGGCCGGCGGATGAGAAGCGCATGACTTTCCATTAGCTTCAGCTGAAGAGCCGCCATGCGGTTTTGTGCCCGCTTCCCGAGCAATGTTTGTGCTCCACTGAATGATTTTTTTTGGGGGGGGCAGTAGAGCGCCCGTCGTAGCCACATATTCCAAGTTCAATTGATTCGTATAACCGGGCCCGGTGATCATTTCATTCTTGCAAGTGGCCCGCCCCAAAACATGAGCGAAAATGCTTCATTCCTTAATCCCACATCCAACTTTTGGCCGGGCGATGCGCGCGCGGTGTCCAACGCCGGATGGTTCTAGGCAGCAAACCCGGCTCTTGTTTTCTGGGGGTTGTGCGCCATCCATGTTGTATGATGGAATCTTTCGGTTTGCGTGTGGCCTATGGCAGAATTGTGTGTCAAAATAGGGGACCAGCAATCTGGTGGCAGTCCTTGTGGAATCCCTCTAAACCAAGTGAAAAGGGTCCCATCAACAGAAACAACTTCGAGTTGCCAATTCACGGCTCGTCGTCAGTGTTGGCTTCTCAAATGCTCGTCCCAGCCTTTGTGCAGCTACTCGGGGCGCGCAGGTGATTGGGCAGCCAGTCTACGTGCCACTCGCTGAGAAGTTGGCCGTCACGGCAACTACCTTAGGGAGAGCAACAGACATCCTCATGGATGGCCATGTGTGGGTCTGGTTTTTTTTGGGGTTTGTCCGGGTCTGTCCGAAACTTAAAAGGAAGGGCTGCTTGAAGGGCAAGATCTGAGAGGCAGTCTTGATCTCTTGCCCCTGGCTTTGGGCATGGGCTTCGAGGCTGCCTGTGCTA